GATCAGGCCAGGCGTTCTCGTACTCGGAACGATCGGAATACATTTCTGGCGGATCCGGAAGGGGCTGTCTAGGCGTGTCGTAGAGCCACTTTCTTACCTCGACTCGTCTGGACACGTCTTTGGGGTCCAGCTGCTGCTGCTGCTGCTGCTGCTGCTGCTCGGGCCTCTCGTCGGGATCGACGTCCCGAATCTTATCGACAGGTCGAATCGTCTCTTTGTTCGCTTCAGAGAACGTTTCTAGCAACCGCACTTTCTTCGGTTTTTTTACCACGCTGTAGAGAGTGTTCTCGTCCTCGATCTCGAGAATCGGTGACGTTTTATTTTGAGACGGCAACCAGACGTGTGGCGATTCTCGCCGCTCGTTCTCCGGCTTCCGGTTTGGCTCGGTGTTCTTCACCGCGCTGATTATTACGATCTTGCCGTGGACGCCGTCCGACGGAAAACTCCTCGTCGCGATATTCTCGTGGCTGTCCAGAATGCTATAGATCGGCTCGCGCGTCGCCGTTTGGATCCATTTGGGTAGCTCGTGACGTTTCGAGGTGCCACCGACGTCCGATGATTTTCCGTCGACCGTCACCGTGGAAATGCCAGCCAGCTCGGCCACCATCCTGACGAATTCTTCGTGTCCAACGGGTCCGCAACCGGATGTCACGCATTCATCGATCGTGACCGACGGATTCGAGATCGGAGTACCGTATTAAAAGTGACGTGAGATTGATAATCGACGATTTGCGGCGCGTAAAGAAGAAGCGTTTCGTGCGATGAATTCTTGACGCTTGACAAACGCCGGAGCAAAAGCGTTCACTTTAAAGGAATTTGGGAGTTTTTTTTTTGAAAAATTAAGCTCAAAGATCACATCGCTCTCACTTGACGTTTATGCAAAAAAATGCGAGGAGGTGTAAAATTAATTTGTCATGTCTTATGTTAATATAATTTCCCAAATTTACGATATAATTATTATACAATAAAATATAAAATCAGATAAGTAAGCCTTTAATTATAATTGAATCACTAGCTTTATCTTGGCTCTTGACAATTATTTTTATTTTTTCTGTCGCACTTGGTATTAAAGTATAGAAGTATTCAAATCTTTTCTGGGATTTAATCTTGAAGCCCATTGCTCACCCTTGATTTGTCTTGAGAACATGAAATTAGTTAATCGTTTATTAGTTACGCGACAAAATCAACTTACAAACGTCTCAACTTACGAATGCACCAATGTACAATAGATAATTCTTTATCTTCAGTTATGAGGATCACTTTCTTTAGCTTATCATTTAGTTTATCCTTTTAGCTTGTTAACGTTTCAAATCCTTGCTGTCTGAGAACGATCTGAGTAACACCGAGTGCACCGGCTCGCACGCAAAAGGCAAATGGCACTCGGTCACTTTAGTTTTAACGAAGAACAATACCACAGTATCGTCGCGGTGGTGGCTGGAGGTCGATGGGATGGATGTAGCTCTCGTTCGTGACCGGATTCGCGAAATAGAAAATTTCACATTCCTCGCGACGTCGTCGACTTTCCACATTCTCGTTCGATACGACAGTTCCACGTACGAAAAGTACTGAGGTCCAAATCATACCGCAACTTACAATTAGTATTTTGTGCTTAACATTCTGACACTTTAGATATACAGATTTTTTTCTAAAAATTTTTATCAATAGATACGCGAGAAAAAACGTATTATTTTTAATAATTCTGTTTTTTAAGAAATTATGGGAGTACAGCGAACCAAAAAAATTGGATACTTTTCAACATCATTTAAAATTTTTATTTCAAGAGATAGAATATTTTTTTGTTGAAAAAAACATATTTTTATATTTAAAAAAAGAGAAAAATTAGGGCTAATAAGAGTCACGACGTAATAATAATTGGTGCGTAAAAATTCAAATCGTTTTTAATTAGTAAAATTCAAAAATTTCCATAGACATTTCGGCTCTGGTTCAAGCCATCTTCAGCAACAAAAGACACCTCCAGTTTTCCAACAAACGTGGCTTATAGATGTAACAAGTATGTGTCAATCAAAATCGGTTGATAAAAATCCGAATGATCTGTAGAAGGCAATAGCCAAGAGTGGCAGAGAACCGAAGTTAACAACATGACGTGGAACGCAAAAAGTGGATAAATATTAAATAGTTAGAAAAGTGGTTAAATATTAAATAATAAATTAATTAAAGTCAAAAGACAGTAAAAAGTAAATTAATAACTAAGAGCAGTCAAATGTAAAAGTCCGCAATATGGTAAATATAACAATGATTCCTATCTTAAAATTGCCATGTTACCGCATTGAAGCCTCTTTTCCCCAATGTTTAAAAATTCATGTCTTCCAGAAAAATAAAGAATCGACTTCTTTCTAGGCTCAACTTAAAGATGAATTATGTGGCTATTTTTTAAAAGATCGTGATTTTATTTAAAAATGGCCGATTCAATATGGCCGATCAAAACGTCATTTTTTTTTGAAAATTTATTTTTGTTCAAAAATTGTTAAAATTTGTTTAATTAAAATGTAAATTGGTATAAATGTTATTGAAAGATTTATGGGGTTCAATACGCAGCGCGCGCGAAGCGCGCGCCTGTTATGAAACCGTAATTAAATTATGACGTTTGTAAAGATAATATTTTACGGAAAGCATTACGTTTTATGTTCAAAGTCTTGTCCAACGTAAATTTTATAATTTTTAATAATTTATTTACAACTATATTTATCTATACTAACTCCATTTTTATGATTTTAAGAATTAATAAAAAGTGAAACAAATTTAACTTTTTTTTAATTTTTAAAGTTCTAACTCCTTAAAAACTTTAAGATAGATCAGCAAGTATTAAACCTGCATGTGCATATTGCAAATCTTTTACAAAACTTCCTCACTCTATCATACAATACGATCAAGAATTAATTACCATATCCATAATGCATCATATCTATAATGGCGTAATCCATTTCCGACGTAACTATGTATATGTATTCTTTTGTGATATATGAGTAAGATTGCATATTTCCTGATTACCATCTTTTTCCGTTTGCTAACATTTCAGGCTCAGAGGGGATAATTAATTAATTAAATAATTTCTCACACGACGATCTCCTTATCGAGACATATGCACTCACGAAGAAAATAAAAGAAATGGAAAGAACCTTATAAAAAAACGGAAAAAAATACAATCTTTTTGCAAAAGTGTAAATATGTATTAAAAAAGTATATATATAAATGTTACAATCTTATTTCTTAAATCTTTTCGCGACGCAACAAAGTGTTTCTCAGATATTATTATGTAGTTTTATTATCTCGGGAGACCCTTTTATTCAAGGAGAAAAGAATATTAAGAAAGAATACTGCATTTCACGAAGCACAGTCTTTAAAGCCGCTGAAGAAAATCAAAACGTTTTAATTTACTGATATATGATGTGCAAAACGTCGCATATGTGAAGATTTGACTGAGATTGGCATCATCGCCAGATGTCGTGTGCTTTTTCCCAGTTGCCTTTTTGCCTCCCCCCCCCCCTCTTAGGCATTGTCTTGCCCGCGCGCAGATAGTAATTGGTGCGCGAGATAATCGATCAGCCGTCGTTAGCATAGAATTATGCATAATGACCGACTATTAGACTTTCCGATCTGGCTATCTCCTCGCGCCTTTCTCGATGCATAAATGCATCGGCGACACAGTACATTCATGACATTTTTCCACGCGGTGGAAAATGGACGGGCACGCGATCCCATTTAGCGGCGTTTATCGCGGGGCTGAGGCATCCTGCGGCGATGATAATAATCGCTATTCGCAAAATGGCCAATCGTATTCGCACTTCCGCACGATCCTTTTGATCGTCCGAGATCCGCTACAAGAATTTAACGCACGATCTGATCGTAACAGATTCAAAGTATATGTATTATAAAGCGTTAAGTGCGCGCGCGCCGTGTTGCGTTGAAACAGTGTGTTTGAGTTATGATTAAATTAAAAAATACATGGGGTCATTGTTTGCTTTTACATTTACGGAGTGACCCAAAAATCGCCCGTTTTTTTGGGCTCTCGATGTTGAGACTGAATTGCCAAATAATACCTTATAATGAGATATTAATTATAGAAAAATTTTAAATTGGAGGTGACAATTGTTATCAGAGCTAGAGGAAAGGGGGGGGGGGAATGAAATCAAAGTTCATTATGGAATTATCACAGGTCTGCGAGGTCCGGTATTTTAAGAAGATTGATCCAGCCGATGAAGGTTGATCGCAAATTTTAAGTAAATGACGCTCGTTTTGGATGTAAAAAAAAATCGAGTTTTTGCGTAAAGAGACGTAATAAATGACCCCCCTCGAGCTGTGATAACAATTGTCACCTCAACCTGAAACTTCTCTGTGATTAATATCTCATTTTAAGGTACCATTTGGCACACAGTCCAATCCCAAAATCGAGGGCCCAAAAAAACGGGCGAAAAAACCATCTTTTTGGGTCACTCTTTACCGCCTTCCTGAACAATCCCTTTTATTTAGCTGAATAAATATTTACTAAATACACTGTATGGTCAGGTTTCAATTACAAAAGGATTATATGCTTTAATCTTCTTTGATAATAAATAAATACTAGAAGAATACAATAATAAAATAAAAAGGCTCTGAGAATTAATTAATAAAAAAAAGCCTAATAGAACCAACACGGGTGTTAGTACTTAATGATTAACATTTATTTTCTAGTATAATACGTACAAAAAATTGCAAACATTTCGATCATTGGTTTTGGTCCTCTTCGCGCAAAGTGCGCAAATACGAAATAATCTTTGGCAATAATTCGGATATAAATTTAAACGTGAGATCCATATTAGATCATTTAGAAATTCGGTTCAGATATTATCGAATCTTCGAGTGAGTAAAATCGAGTTCAAATAATAATCATAACGACTAACTTAAAACGTACAATTTTTGCTTAGATGTGCGTAATTATCTCCAGATCAAAGTTCATACAAATAGCGTCTTCGGATTATATAATATTTACTGACGAATGTATAATATTTGTAACAAACACAGTGAACGTGATGTGAAAAGAAATTACGAATACTCGCAAACGACGAGCGCAGTAAAAGACGAAGAGGAGGGATTGTCATAATACACAGCGGCCCACGTCAGAGTCTGTTACCGTGCACTCTTCGTTAATTTTAGTACACGCTCCACTACCGTCTAGCCCGCGAAGACGATAGTCGCTAATGATATCGGGCCAAGAACACCGAATAGTGTCACAACATTGAACCAGGCAGTCCGCAAGCAGCTAATATCAGCCGACAGCTAACTCCGAAATCTCTCATCTCGTGCATCAACAATTATTAACGATGACGCGCATTTATTTTCTAATCTTCTGTTACATTTTAAATGCTGCAGTAAGCGAGCCGTGAGTACATTTTATATCAAGAAAAAATTTTATTGTATTTATTTTCGTGGCTGTTAATATACATATATTTCCAAGGAAATATAAGTTTTATTGAAGTGGTCCTAACGTACGTGTGCACACATTTTACATCACAAGACGATAATTTTATGATGATATTTTTAAGTTGATCAGATTTTTCCGATGAAAGAGCAAAAAAAAGATAATACTTTATATGAAGGTAGTACACTCGCGACAATACTATCCAAAAATTAGGTCCGATCGCGTGCTCGATGGCAATGCTCCCACTTCCGCCAGTGAGAAAAAACATTTTGCGCCTGTCCATAGGCCGCACGCACACGCGGAAAAAAATTAATTCAGATAGACGCAGACTAACGCAACTCGACTGCCCGCCTCCTTCACTCGCCTCCATATGTCAATTAAAATCGAAAATTACATTTGTTTTCAAGGTTCTATTTTCCAAACTGAACGATAAAAAATTATGAATTTTTTTCACAATACCCGTTTCATTTCCCTTTATGCTTGTTTTTTATTAACATTTTACTGCTAGTTTAGGCCCTACAAAAGTAAACGCGACATTTTTATGAACTTTGTATAGACCACACGTATGAAAAATGCAATTTTTAATTGCTTATATCTCAGTATTGAAACGGTCAATCTCATTCTAATTGCACAAGCATGTCAACGACTTCTAGTACAACGTATAGTTCAATTTTAAGTAATTCTGACTGTTTTCAATTCGCGAATTAGTACCTTAAATGTATTTTATATTTTATATTTAAAAATATTTAACAATTGATTTGTCAATCAGAATTGATTACGATATCTTGTTTAAATGGAATCCTCCATTTTTTATTGCATATATTCTTGTAGTTTATCTCGAGAGCTTTTCAAAACACTATAATAAAGTATTTTTCCATTAAGCACTTTTTAAGTTATAAGACTTGAAAGTTACAATACCGCTGGCATTAGCATTATCCAAGGTATCCGAATACATCAAAGTAATCTTCATTTTCTCATCCGATCAGAGATTTCTCTTTCGAGATTTCTTGATCCATCCTATAGTTCGCGATTTAACTTAGTTGGAATAAGTTAGATGCAAAATTTTCTCTCTCTGACATCTCACTCTAAAGAGAGGAAGTCTCGTGCCTCATAACGGCTTTTATGAAACTCGACCGCAATAATCGACTTCTCCGGCTCTCGCGCGCTTTCCAGACCTTCGCTAGACGCGAACTTTTCTCTTCGTAGAGCTATGTGGCTGATGCAGGGCGACGTGTTCACCGAGGACGAAGTGACGTCCCGGCTCATCCAGCTGGATACCCACAAGTCGAACTTCTCGGTGAGCACCAGAGCAGAGGTGCACTACTGGGCTCGACCGGGCAAGCTCATCAGCTGCGTGATTGCCGCGTCTGTCTATCAGCAGGGTCATGTGAGCGTGGTGGAGGGCGGCTACGGTGCCAAGAAGGTGCGGGTCCGTTACGTGACGAAAACCGGCAAACCGGACGTTTTCTTCGTTCTCGTACAGGCCGCGAGGAAGGAATTGGTGTCCGTCGAAGGAAACGTCGTGAAAAGCCCGAGAGTGGACATCGTCTACGGACCCATGACGAATTGGACCTTCGCGGAGATACAGGATGCCTTACGCAATTATACTGATATCTTTCCATCGTAATGCCAATGCGTTGATTTCTTTTTCACAAGATAATGATGACGTCTCATAAAAATACTTGGAATTTATACTGCTAATCGTTAATTAATAACAGAGCGTTTACTGAAATCTTGTAAAAAAATTTTCTGAAAATTCCCAGGATTTTCCAAGTATTTTTATTCAAAATTCTAAGTAAAATTATAGAGAATTTTTTTATAGAACTTTGAAATGACTTAGAGTGTAAGATAATGTATATATGGCAGGTTCTGTAACCTAGGAGTTCTGAGAGGGACGGGAAAGAGATTTCGTGGCACGAGATATTTTATGTCCGGCGGGCGCTCGGAGCAAGAGAGGGGAAGAGTGCGTAGGTTCTTTTCTTCTCTCTTCTCATCTTCCTCGGAACTCCAGGATTAGAACCCATCATATACATACACTACTAGTGTAAGTAACGCAACAAGCTATATACATATATTGTAAATTTGTAGAAAAAGGGATTTCACGAAATTCTATTTTTTTCTACAATTGTAGCCGCAAAATCTAGAATAGTACAGAGAAGATTCATAATACAGTATCAATGACTACCATCATCTTAATTTTTAAAAAATAAAAACTCGTAAGATGCACGAGAATGTGAATATATACGCGGATGTGTGTCATACTTATGTTAACCGATTGTCAACATTTTGCCTTATCAAACAAAGAAATAATTAAACAACGTTTTCAGAGAGAGAGAAATTAAATTATCGAATTTAAATTTAAAAGTATAACAATTCCAAAATTTGAATACTGGTAAAATTTCATGAAAATTTCTGATTTTCCAAATAAAAAAAAGAAATTCCCTGAACATTTCAAATTTTCCAGATTTTTTTACATTGAGAAAATGTCTAATAATACCTAAAGAGTAATGGCCAAATGTACTTTGTTTAAGAGGTTATACCACCTTTCAGGTTTTAGAACAATATTTAAAGGAGGGTGTATAAAAATGGCAATTTTTCGCCTAGAACCGATACCTTTTAAACCTATAAATTTAGCATTTTAAAGATCCAAACATTCATGAAAAAATGGTTATTTACCCAGAAAAGCTCGGGAAACCTTCCAAAAATAATAAAGTAGGCTGTTTGAACGCTTTGCAAAAAAACTTTTTTAACACTTAACACATGTTGGACCATTAAATACTGAAAGAATACAACTTATACCAAGAAGATCCACAAATATATATACATATATATTTAATAAAAAAATATATATGTATATAAGTGATAAATATATAATACATATATACAAATATTTATGTGCAGCTTATCGAAGATTGAAGCTTTAGATGTTTGAAAATGATATAAAAAAAATTAATAAAACTAGATGTATAAGAATGTATAAAGAAAACAAATACAAATATAATATAAATAAAAAGATACCGAGAAATACTAAATATTAAAATATAAAAACAAAAAATATTAAAATAAGAATAAAAAAATTAAAAAAATAATAAAATACAAAAACACAAAAAAATGGAGCCAGTAACCGTCACGTCCCCGTTCGTTAATTCCGGGTCATGCTGAGCGCGGTTAAAACCTATACTTGAATATCACAATCATATAACTGTGTGATTTTTTAAAAATTACTTTTTCAATTATCCTTCATTATTCAATTTTTGCACATAAATAATATTGATTATGCTTATATTTCTGTCGTCATAATGAATAAGCTGCACATAAATATTTGTATATATGTATCATACATTTATATACACTTACGTATATATATATATATTTTTTTTTATTAAATATATATGTATATATATATTTTTTTTTTGTAGGTCTTCCTGATAGTGTATTCTTACAGTATTTAATAGTCCAATATGTATTAAATGTGTTAAATAAGTTTTTTCGCGAAGCGTTCAAACAGCCTACTTTATTATTTTTGGAAGGTTTTCTGAGCTTTTCTGGGTAAATAACCATTGTTTCATGAATGTTTGGACCTTCAAAAATGATAAATTTATAGGTTTAAAAGGTGTCAGTTCTAGGCGAAAAATGGCCATTTTTATGCATCCTCCTTTTTTTTGTAGGTAAACGGATAACTTTATTTGTAATCTGCTTAGAGGACATTATTGTACATATATAGAAACTAAGACCTAAGAAACTAACAAATTATTTTTTTATTTTTCTTATGTCCAAAATGGCGGCGCACTGACTTACACTTGCGAAATCCCTTTTTTTCTATCGGTGTACACGGTTTGACATTGAACAAAACACAAAGAATTTTCATTATCTACATATTAAAAAATATGGAAGTAGGGATTTTTCTAAATATTGAATTTTTCTCGAAATGACAGCTATTTTAAAAAAGACTTGTACTGGTGAAAAATACACATTTTTTGTAAAATAGCTGCCATTTCGAGAAAAACTAATATTTAGAAAAATCCGTATGTAATTCCATAATTTTTAATATATAAACAATGAAAATTCTTTGTATTTTGTTCAAGGTCACTGTGTGTGCAAACCTGCAGCCTACACCGATTTCAAGATTTAGAAAAAAGACATTCGGCAAGTAGGTCAATGTGCTACCATTTTGAACATTAAAAAAATAAAAAAATATTTTTTTTACTTTATTATATATGTATAACAATGTCCTTAAAGTAATTTTTAATAAAGTTATCTGTTTACCCAGAAAAAATCCTAAACTTAGGTATCATTTTAGGGTTAAAGGTGGCATGACCCCTTAATATATCGATGTAATAGTAACTATTATCAAATATAATGAATAATAACTGGCTGTTTGATATAATAATTACTAACTATTATTAATATTTACAAAAGTAAAATTAGCGTTAGTTGATTTTGATTATATTAACCATCTTTTACTTGAAATTATTTCACCAAAGTTTCAGTAACTATTATCTAGGCTCGATTATATTATTACCAGATTTTTTCTCAGTGCAGTAGCATTCAATAAGCATCCTGATTAATTTTTAGTGGCCTTCAAGTTCTTCCAAATCAGTTTGTTTTGAATTTTTATATCTATTATTATTACTAAAATCCGAAATGAAATTTTAAAAAATTCAAAAAATTCGATTATGTGTAGTGTAAAATTAAACCTTTTCTTTCAACTTTACATTGTAAGAAGAAATTAGATTTAAAGTAAATTAAAGATGAAAATAAAGATTAGCATAAATTAAATGAATAAAGCAGTCTCCCATAATTTTTGTTATTTAAAATATTTTTAAACATTCAATCTAAAAGTCTGAAAATGCCTAAGAAATTAGATACTTTTTAAATGGCTTTATACCGGTTTTTACACACTATTCTGGTTGGATTCATTCCGAAGAAATTTTACTTTGAGGAGTTCAGCGGTTCGAATGATTGAACCTTCTCATATTATTATCGTCGAGCGAGACGCTCATTTGTAACAGATAGCATATCATTTTACCTCCTCCGTATTCTGGCAGAGCAACCATGTAGTTACGCATGTATTCCCAATATAATTATGCAAAGAGATGCATTTTGTGCGTAAATGAGATATCCAGTTCATTTTAATCCTTCAAGATGTACGTTCCGAAGTCGTTTATAGATCTTCATTAATATTGTTATTAATTAAAACGCTGCTTCTAAATGTTTCGTGTTTTTAACATTCCAATTTATTTTTGCTCTATACTTGTCTACTACATAAAAAAATATAAAGAGTGACTCAAAAAAATGGTTTTTTCGCCCGTTTTTTTTTGGAACCTCGATTTTGGGACTGGACTGTGTGCCAAATAATGACCTTATAATGAGATATTAATCACAGAGAAGTTTCAGGTTGACTTTAATTATAGAGAAGTTTCAAGTTGAGGTGACAATTGTTATCACAACTGGAGGGGGGTCACTTATTACGTCTCTTTACGCGAAAACTCGATTTTTTTACATCCAAAACGAGCGTCATTTATGTAAAACTGCGATCAACCTTCATTGGCTGGATCAACCTTCTTGAAATACCGGACTTCGCAGATCTGTGATAATTCCATACACGGAAAGAACAATTTTATTGAAAGGTCTAAAAATTTTGCTAAAAACAGATCTGAAAATAATTTTTTGTTGAATCATCAAAATAATTTGTTGGAAATAATTTGTTAAAGCTGATAAGAATCGCTATAAAACATTTTGATATTTTAGCAATCACTTTGACTTTCGCACAAATTATTTGATTATTGACAAAAATATTTCAGATCTGGATTCAGCAAAATTGT